TGCCTAAGGCACTTGACTGCTAACCAGAAGGCTGGCGGTTCAAACCCACCAGCCACTCCTCGGAAGGAAGGTTGGGCAATCCTACTTTCGTAGTGATACTGCCTCGGAAACCCAAGGAGGGGTCGCTATGAGTCGGGGCCGACTCGACGGCAAACAACAACAACAACAGAGCTCTGGTAGCATGAGAGAACCATGTGGCAGTCTGCATCTATAAAGATTACACGCTTTGAAATCCTACAGAGCAGTTCTACTCTGTCCTACAGGGTTGCTGTGAGTGGGAATCCACTGGCTGTCAATAGTCTTGGGTTTTGGTTTAAAGCAATCATAGCATATTACCCAACCTTATATAAACCGTTCTAGTTTCCCCAAATACTTCTCTATTACATTTTTCAGGTGCTACTGCTAACAATCCTTTTCAAGAGGAGGAAGAGTACGGTTGTTAATAATAAAGATGCTAGAGGCAGACTACTTATTTTGAATCATGGCTTCCTAGCTAAGTGACCTTTGGCAGATTACTTCACATTCTGTACCCTAGTTTCCCAATAAGTAGGCATAATAACAGTATCCATCACTTTTTTTCTTTTTCTTCTTTTTTTTTTTTTAAGTTTCACTAGAGTCCATTCTGGCTCCTGGAGACCTCCTGTGTTACAGAGTAGAACTGCTCCGTAGGGTTTTCAGATTTTCTGCTTCTGTGCAGATACACAGCTTTGGAAACCCGACTGACAAGTAGAATAGACTCAACGGCAACGGATAATGGATGATCTTTAGGCTGTAACTTTTTGCATGGCCAGATCATCAAGCCTTTCATCCCAGGCACTGCTGAGTGGGTTCAAACCACCAACCTTTAAGTTAATAGTCAAGTGCATAGTATATAATAAGTGTTACCTATTATTCAAACCACCAACCTTTAAGTTCATAATCAAGTGCATAGTATATAATAAGTGTTACCTATTATTATTTATGGAGCTCTGGTAGCGGAGTGCCTAAGGCACTTGACTGCTAAACAGAAGGCTGGTGGTTCAAACCCACCAGCCACTCCTGCGAAGGAAGATGGGGCAATGTACTTCTGTAGTGATACTGCCTCGGAATGAAACCCAAGGAGGGGTCGCTATGAGTTGGGTCCTACTCGAGGGCACATAACAACAACAACGTTATTTACATTAAGAGAGTTGGCCATAATTAAAGTAGCATACTGGTGGTTTAAGATATTTAAGTGAATATTTTTTATTTGTTCTCGTATAGGACATAGGAGATGAATCCAGTAGGCAAATCTGAAAAAAATATAATGAACACCTCTAGTTATCAATGGATGTAAGAAAGTTAGGACTGAGCCTAAGAGTTGACTGAAGCCAGAAAAGATTATGTTTGTCAGTTGGGTCCTCCAAAAAGCAGATACAGGCATACCTCAGAGATATTGTGAATTTGCTTCCAGACCACCACAGTAATCAAGCAAGTCATATAAATTTTGTTGGTTCCCCAGTGAATATGAAAGTTATGTTTACACTATATTGTAGTCTGTTAAGTATGCAATAGCATTATGAAAAAGTTTGAAATATTGTGAGAGTCACCAAAATGTGACACACAAATGTGAAGTGAGCACATGCTTTTGGCACCAATAGAATTGCTCAATACATGGTTGCCGTGAACCTTCAATTTATAAACAATGTAATATCTGTGAAGTACAATAAAGCAAGGTATGCCTCTCCTGAGATAGAGTTTGGAATGTTAAAGAAAAAGGGAGGAAGCAGGACTGGGCAGGGGAGCTCCAAAGAGGAACTATAGAGGGATAAAATAACTAGGCCCTTATACCACAGTCTTGCTCAGGAGATTGTCCCTACACTATCCTCAAGGCTATTCCTGAATGAGGCTGTAATGTAGCTGTTGTCCTTTTTTGACTTTCATCATGTACTGAGCCCATGCATCCATAAACTCAGCTTGACCTTTCTTCCTTCCTTCCTCTGGTGGTTTGAGCTTCCCTTCTCCTCATAAAACCAAAAAAAAAAAAAGACCTAACTCAGTGAATTGAGTCAATTCAGACTCACAGCAATCCCCACTTGGTTTCCAAGGCTATAAATCTTTAAGGAGACTGCCACATCTTTTTTCCAAGTGGCTGGTGGGCTTGAACCACTGACCTTTTGGTTAACAGCCAAATGCCTTAACCACTACACCACCAGAGCACCTTCTTCCTCCTCATATGGCTATCAGTACAAGCTGAGGAAGGGTGTTTGTGTAATTCTGATGGGTGACATGGAAATCTGTGCTACTTGCTCATGTAGGTTTCTTGTGTCCTCTGGTCATCTTTGTACTTCATCCCAAATATAAGACTTCCATCTTATGTAGAGTTGTGGCTGGGCCCCTCAAAATTTATGTTAAGGTAGGTCCAACGAGGCACATTTCATGAGGAATCACTTAGTAGCCTATGGTCAAGCATTTCCTCTCTACCAGTAACATGTCCAGAGCTATTTTTCAAAATATGTACAGTTCTTCACTTCATATGGGTGGTCTCAGGGAACTGAACTGTGACTCTCTCACTGAGATTTCCGTAACTCCATACTGAATCTTTATCCACAACTGACACCTCTAACACCGTAGTGTCTGCCAGATCATATGGCCTAAGTGGCAAGGCTGCTTGTACCATAGCCCAGAGCTGCTGCAAAGACCTTTTCAGTGCCAGGTTCTATGCATAGCTGGCAGTATTTTATATCACATGGTATCTGGACCAGAAAAATATTCCTAGTTTTGAAACATGTTGCTTCCAGAACCCAAAGAAGCTTCCAAAGCACTGTGCTTTCTTCTTTATTGTAGGGGATACAAGATGTAGTAATTTGTCTTTTACTTTGGAGGGGATGCTCTTAACACTTTCCTGAACACTATGCCTTTGATACTTTTACTGAAGGGACAGGTCCCTGACTCTTAGGGTTTATCTCTCACTATCTGGAGCACAAGTACCTTATCAAATCTCCAGTGTGCTACCCACCTCTTGTTCAATTGTTGTCAGCAATTATGTCACGGATATAATGGATCTGTATGATATTTTGCAGGATTTCCAGACGGTCCTGATCTTGTGAACTATATTATGAGAGAGTTGAAGAGTTAACATAGCCCTAGGGAAAAAGTATGAGTGTTATATTGTCCGTTTCATGTAGGTGTGAACTATTTCTAATGATCTTTCTTGACTGGGTTAGAAAAGAAGGTATTCTCCAAATAAGTGATCACATACCATGTACCTAAGGCCATAATCTGTGTTTGCAATGATACTATGTCTGGACTGGCAGCTAAAATTGGGGCTGCTTGATTAAGCTTGTAATAGTCTACAGTCACTTTCCTAATTTATCTGGTTTCTACAGGGGCCAGACAGGCTAATTAAGTGCCAATATGATGGGGACTCTGGTAGCATAGTGCCTAAGGCATTTGACTGCTAACCAGAAGGCTGGTGGTTCAAACCCACCAGCCACTCCTTGGAAGGAAGGTTGAGCAACCTACTTCTGTGGTGATACTGCCTCAGAAACCCAAGGAGGGTCACTATGAGTTAGGCCCAACTCAACAGCATATAACAACAACATAATGGGGACTAAGAGACCTGGTGGCATGGTGGTTAAGTACTCGGCTGCTAACTGAAAGATGCAGACTTTCACCAGCTGTTCTGCAGGAGAAAGTTGTGTATCTGTAAAGATTGTTGTTGTTGTTGTTAGGTGCCGTTGAGTTATCTTTGACTTATATCGACCCCTAAGCACAGCAGAATGAAACACTGCCC